CGCTCTTAGGTTGGAGGCCATCGCTTCTAGGTTGGAGGCCATCGTTCGCAGGTTGGAGGCCATTGCTCTTAGGATCTCTTAGGTTGGAGGCCATCGCTTGTAGGTTGGAGGCAATGGCTATTAGGCTCTCTCTCTTTCTCTTTTTGCTGCGAGGAACCCTGGATTCCGTTTGCATGCTTGCTTCCTTCTGTTGAGCGACGCTGCTTGCAGGATGGCAGATATGTTCTTCCAGGATCTTTTCATCATCCTCCCCATGTGGAGGAGTGGCGGCAGATGCTGCAAAGCTCTTTCTATTCACCAGGAATCTGTTTAAAGAAACTGATCCCTGGCGCATTCTCGACCACGCCAGGAGCTGCTAGTCATGGTGCGAGCAGTCTGGCAGGCCAGAAGCAAAATCTACTTTGAGGCGCTTAGAGACTGACACCTGCAGTTTCACTCTGAGGGCTGGGATCTGGCCAGATTCTTCAGATCAAACTCACCATGAAAGAGCAAACACCAAAATAAAGAAATAGATTCGGCTTTGGCAAGGGAATCGGTCTTTTCCTGTGGAGACCAGGCCAACACGCGATCGCTACAAGCAGGGCATCCAGGATGTAATGCTCGTAAGGCAAAGGATCACTTGCACACAACCATCGAAGCCTACAGGCCAGCACCCTCGGAGCGCTGGGGCAGCGTGAGAAAATCAGCCTGACTTCTTGTTACTAGTAGCGAGGCCCTTGTTACTAGTAGCTTCTTGCTCCTAGTAGTAAGGCCAGGAGCCCCTAGTAGCGTCCTTGCTCCTAGTAGTAAGGCCAGGAGCCCCTAGTAGCGTCCTTTGCTCCTACTCCCATCAGCTGACATTTCAAGCCTAGACATGAATGAGAGACTCATGCGTCTTCGCAAGACCGGTCTTGACCTTTTCCAGTCCTTTTCTTGCTCTTAAGTTGGAGGCCATAGCTATTAGGTTGGAGGCCATTCCTTTTCTAGTCCTTACTATCACGAATGTTTGCTGAGAGATCTCCAAGGCAAGCTTCAGCAGCAACCGAGCTAAGTCCAGCAGAGGCAGCTATACGTGCGGTGTTGTCCTGGCAGCCAGGCAAAACATCGTATCACAGATTTCTCAACGGCCTGATTCATGATGATTCATGTACTTCTTGCATCTTAAACATGGTTCGACCTGGATTTGATTTTGCCGCATGTCGTGAGGATTTCATGTTGTGGGACTTCTTGCTAGAGGAGACTCAGAAGCCGCTGAGGTACAATCACACGGTGCGTTTGACCGTTTGCAAGGACTCATGGCCAAGGCACGAAACAAGGAAAGTATGGCATAGCCATGGGGCCAAAGTTGGCTCCCTTTTCTTCTACCACGAGCATCTCTTTCATGCTCCAGGCCGGAATTAGCTGCTTTGGCTCGCGGATGGGGCAGTGCTGTTCTCCCGCCTCCAACTCCGTGTGAGTACGTAGAGGCTGGCAGATTCTCGTTGTCCCCTTTGGTCCTCTCACCAAAGGTGCAACGAAGCAACATGCATAACTTTGGTTGTAGCCTTGCTTCCAGGAATCACTCTGTTGGTGGAGCTTTGGCAAACACAACAAGCCCCAAGCCGCTCATTTGCAGAATTCAACACCCCTCCCTCCCTGAGAAATCTGGCTGCTCAAGAATCTTGTTATCATTCACAGGAATGGTTGGGCCATGGCTACTTTTGGCGTCCCGTTCCGGCTGAAGCTTGTGCAGAGCCGCATTGGTGTCTTGAGAATGCCGCTGGAAATGCGACATGGCAGAACTGTGGACGTATTGAGCACTCCACACTCTTGCAGATCTGACAATCAGAAGCATAAACTATTTGGAAAACAATTCGATTTGGACAAAGAACACAACTTGAACTTCGAGGCGCTGCAAGACTTCGATCTTTTGGAGGAGGGCTTTCAGCGCTTGTGCAATGCCCGTGTCCTCGCGGCTGACCGGGATCTCTTGCGGCGCGACTTTCCGCTGGGAGGCAGACAGTGTGTCATGTAGCGAACATTGTTCCTAGTAGTAAGGCCAGGAGCCCCTAGTACCGTCCTTGCTCCTAGT